CACGCGCACCCACGCGCACCCACGCGCACCCACGCGCACCCACGCGCACCCACGCGCACCCACGCGCACCCACGCGCACCCACGCGCACCCACGCGCACCCACGCACACCCACGCCCACCCACGCCCACCCACGCCCACCCACGCGCACCCACGCGCACCCACGCGCACCCACGCGCACCCACGCGCACCCACGCGCACCCACGCGCACCCACGCGCACCCACGCGCACCCACGCGCACCCACGCGCACCCACGCGCACCCACGCGCACCCACGCGCACCCACGCGCACCCCCGCGCACCCACGCGCACCCACGCGCACCCACGCGCACCCACGCGCACCCACGCGCACCCACGCGCACCCACGCGCACCCACGCGCACCCACGCGCACCCACGCGCACCCACGCGCACCCACGCGCACCCACGCGCACCCACACGCACCCACACGCACCCACACGCACCCACACGCACCCACACGCACCCACACGCACCCACACGCGCCCACGCGCCCACGCACGCACGCGCGCAAGCGCACACGGCCACGCGCACGCGCTGACGCACGCACGCGTAGACGCGCACGCACGCACGCACGCACGCACGCACGCACGCACGCACGCACGCACGCACGCACGCACGCACGCACGCACGCACGCACGCACGCAAGCACCCACACACACACAGACACACAGGCGCGCACACACACACACACACCCACGCACGCAGCGCAACGCAACACACGCACACGCACAGGCGCGCGCACACACACATATACCTGGACCAGCCAAGGGCACTTTTTTTGCGACTGTCTGCAAAAATCCGTGCATTTCCTTGAAATCCATACATTTGAGCAAAAACTGTACTTTTCTTGCAGGCTCAACGCAAGAGGCAGGAGCATTCAACGACTTAAGAATCTCACGTTCAGCTCCGGCCCTGGCACTGGAGATTGTCATGCTCATGGGCCAAGAAAAAACATTTCAAGGTGTGCAATTCACCCAGGACAAAAGGTGTGCACTTCCCCCAAACAAATGTTCCGCTGATATCCGTACTTTTTCCGCAGATTTCCGTACTTTTCCCGCCGATTTCCGTTCATTTCCCGCCGATTTCCGTGCATTTCCCTCCGATTTCCGTGCATTTCCGGTTTCTGCCTTTTGGCTGAGAAAACTGCAAACTCGCAAAAGCGGCAAGGAAGCTGTCACATGTTGCCCCACAGCAATAGGAGACGAATGACCTGAAACGGAATTAAGTATGACGGGCCATGTAAATTGCAAACTGTGTTCATCTGCATCCATGTGCACCACAAACGCTCACATCCTGCTAAAAACGATTTCCGTCAAATTTCCTCAGAAGTGTACATTGACGTTTTTCTTCTGCATGTACGAAATTTCAGTACTTTTGGAGGGTTCAGCACACTCACGCACGCACACATGCACACACCCACACCCATGACAAACGCACGCACTTTCGCAAGCACGCACGCACGCACGCACGCTCGCACACGCACACACACACACACACAGACACAGCGCACAGCGCGCAGACACACACACACACATCCACAACCACACACACACACATTTCACACACAGCGCGCGCACAGGCACACGCACATTCGTCCGCAGGCACATACGCACGCGCGCACGCGCACGCGCATGCTCAAATGCTTCGCCACGCACACATACACACATGCACACACGCACGCACACAGCACACAAAACTACACACACACACACAGCACACACAGCACACACACACACACGGCACACACACAGCGAACATACAGCGCAGACTGCGCACACAGCACACACAAAGCACAGGCAGTCCACACAGCACACTCAGCACACACACACACACACACGCACGCACGCACCCACACACACACAGACACGCACGGCACGCACGCACGCCCGCCCGCCCGCCCGCCCGCCCGCCCGCCCGCACGCACGCACGCACGCACGCACGCACGCACGCACGCACGCACTCACGCACGCGCCCATGCACGCATGCGCACGCACGCACACCCCCCCACCCGCGTCCCCGCGTGCACGCACGCACGCAGCAACGCACGCACCCAGCACGCAGGAGCGCACGCACGCACTTACTCACTCACGCGGCACGCACGCATGCACGCACGCATGGACGCACCCGTGACGCACGCACGCGCGCACGCATGGACGCACGCATGCGCACACGCGTGAGCAGGCACGTGCAGAGACGCACTTGTGCTTGTGCTACACACGTTGGCGTGCATCACCGAGGCGCGCATGCGCGTGCCGTTTACTTCTTTCATGAGCTCCATCTATCCTGCGAACACACTGTGCTCCATGCACGGGCCTGGTTTCCGTGTAGGATAGATAGTAAACCACCTGCGGTTCTTTTAGCAAACTAAAAGAGTTTTTCAAAAGGGGAACTGCATGTACTTTGCGGAGGCAATCCTGGTTGGGGGCGTAGGCTCGTGTCGGCTTTTGCGCGTAGGCTGTTGTCACCCCTCTCGTTGGCTTTTCGCGTAGGCGTTTGCTGAACATCATTGCTCAATGCTTTTTGCCAAGTACAAAGGAGTTTGCTTCTTATGCCTTCCTCCTGTTAGGCATTTTGAGTACGCAGACCTTTGCTAGCAGCGATATTTTGGGCAGATGTGGGTTGTCGCTTGTACTGCGCAGGTGATCTTAGACCCAGAGCTGCCAGAACTGCTTGTACTGCAAAGTTGCGATTTTCCCGCGGAGCTGCCAAAACACACTCCAACCTTGAACTGAACATTTGCCCGCGAAGGCGTCCGCATAGGCACCTGGAAGCTGAGTTGCGCTCGCGTAGGCGCTGTTTGCAGCGGCGTAGGCTCGCGGAGGCGTCCGCGTAGGCGTGCAAGTAGTGTATAGACCCCGAACCACCAAAAAACACTGCTCATTTGTGTCTTCCAGTTTTTGTGTCTACACTTATGTCGTTTGCGCGGCCTTGGGTTGGAAGAATGAAATGAAGCGTTGCAATTTGGCTGGTACGCATGTAGCTTGATAAATCTAACGCACCTCGCGTTGTTCCGAGGTGCCGTCAGCGCTCTGAGAAGTGTTAACGACCTCCCAAGCGATTGGGCTTCCGAGCGCTTCACAGTGGTGGATGCCGGGGATGGCGAGATCGCACTGCAAGGGCCAGGGAAACATTTCTTGCAGCTCTCGGATCAGAAAGTTGGGCAGACTGCTCCCAGTGATCACCTGCTTCCCGGACACACATGGCAACGCTTCAAGGTGGTCCCGGCCGAGACAAAGCTGCCACGAGGCTCCGTGGTGGCCTTGCGCCTCGCGAGAGTGTGTCGCCTTCCTTTCTTTTGGGAGGGCCCTGCGGTTTTGACAAGCTGCGCTTGCCTCAAGCTGTTTGACAATGAGAATAGGTGGGTTTTCACCTCTTTGGCTAAAAGTGAGCATGTTTTCAGGTTCCTTTTGCCTCCTCCGAATTTTGACTAGGTACCCACCCCTAAGTAAACACGTTTTTGGGCTCCTTTTGCTTCCGAACTCTGCTCGGTACTCCCCCCGGCCAAATCCTAGCTGGGGTAGACTTAGGATACATTTTACATTTTACCGGTAACTCAAAGTGAAGCAAACAATCAAATATACATTCTATAACTGGGCCTAACTATAGTCATGCTAGGTACAGCCCTCACAGGAAGCTTTTTGGGCTCCTTTTGCTTCCTCCGAACTCTTGGGTACTCACCGGTCCAAAGTTTTAGGTCCTTTTTGCGTTCCTTTTCGCGTCCCAATTTTTAGGTAGCCCTCACTGGAAGCTTTTTGGGCTCCTTTGCTTCCTCCGAACTCTGACTGCGTGCTCAACGGTCCAAAGTTTTAGGAGCTACAGCCCTTGGAAGCTTTTTGGGCTCCTTTTGCTTCCTCCGAACTCTGACTGGGTACTCGCTGGTCCAAAGTTTTAGGTACCGAACTCCTTTTTGCGTTCCTTTTCGCGTCCCAAACTTTAGGTACAGCCCTTGGAAGCTTTTTGGGCTCCTTTTGCTTCCTCCAAACTCTGACTGAGTACTCACCGGTCCAAAATTTTCAGTACCGAACTCCTTTTTGCGTTCCGTTTCGCCTCCCAAACTTTAGGTACAGGGCTCCTTTTGCTTCCTCTGACTGGGTACTCACCGGTACAAAATGTTGGGTACCAAACTCCTTTTTGCATTCCTTTTCGCGTCCAAAACTTTAGGTACAGCCCTTGGAAGCTTTTTGGGCTCCTTTTGCTTCCTCCGAACTCTGACTGACTGGGTACTCACCGGTCCCAAATTTTAGGTACCGAACTCCTTTTTGCGTTCCTTTTCGCGTCCCACAGGTTTTGGAAGCTTTTTGGGCTCCGAACCTTTTTGCGTTCCTTTTCGCGTCCCAAACTTTAGGTACAGCCCTTGGAAGCTTTTTGGGCTCCTTTTGCTTCCTCCGATCTCTGACTACCGGTTTCAAATTTTAGGTACCGAAACTTTAGGTACAGCCCTCACTGGAAGCTTTTTGGGCTCCTTCTGCAACCTCCGAACTCTTTTTAGGTACCGAACTCCTTTTTGCGTTGCCCTTGGAAGCTTTTTGGGCTCCTTTTGCTTTCTCCGAACTGATTGGGTACTCTCCGGTCCCAAATTTTAGGTACCGAACTCCGTTTTGCGTTCCTTTTCGCGTCCCAAACTTTACGTCGAGCCCTCTGACTGGGTACTCGCCGGTCCCAAATTTTACCCTAGGAGCCCAGGACCTCATATATGAAGGTCTCAGCCAAAGCCTCTAATTTCAGGGTCTCGGGGTCGGGACCTTAAAATATAGGGTCTCAGAAAATTGGGAAGAGTTGACAGCGGGATGCCCCACGAGGACGTGTTTTTCTTCGTGGCTCTTTCAGGCTCAAATGTCACAGACAACTGTGACAGACAATCAAGCTAGGCAGTTCATGCAAGTTTGCACTAAGCTCAGGTCTGCGCATTTGTCCTCGCACCTGTTCAGGCGTTGTATTGGAATGGTACGATCTGAGTTACGCGGCTTAAGGCATTTTAACTCGTTTTAACGCAGTTTAACTCGTTTTAACGTGTTTTAACGCGATTTAACTCGAGGCCTCGTTATATAGGCCTCGGGGGTAAATTTTAACGCAATTTAACTCGCTTCATTCTTTAGCCCAGGAAATTGGTTGTGTCTTCTTTTTTGCTTTGGCTGGCATCCATCAGTGTTGCAGTGGGAAACTTGTCTGCAAAGTGGTTTTTTGTCAAGCCTGGCTGTCTTCATGGGGAAAAGTACAAAGTCTGGTTTGCCAATCTTGCGGTTTTTGCATGATCAACAAATACTCATGTCTCTATCTTTGCTCTGAACACAGGCAGAGAGAGGGCACCTGACCTACCAGTGGATCCCTCAACCTGAGGCCTTTATATTCAGGCCTTGGCCCCCTCTGAGCTATCTAATTCCGAGACCTTATTTTTCAAGGTCTTGTCTAGTTGCCTCCCAGCGCAGGTCTCGAACAGAAAGCCTTCTTATATGAGGTCTCGGGGCTCCTAGGGTTAGGTACCGAACTCCTTTTTGCTTTCATTTTTCGCGTCCCAAACTTTAGGTGTGTGAGAAACGCACGCACGAAGCCCTATATTCTGTGCCACGTTTGCCGCCAAAGACTTGCGAATTTTCACAGACACGGCATGCCATCTTTCATGATCCCTTTTATAGCGGCCACGCTTTTCAGATGGGTTGCCTGTAAATAGCGGCCCCTTTAGTATATAGTCAGGACCCCTTTAGCGGCCCACGCCGCTAAATTTTTCGAGCCTCCTTTAGCGGCCCATGCCGCTAAACTTTTCGAGCCCACTTTAGCGGCCCACGCCGCTACACTTTTCCTGCCCCAAAAAGTCATAGCGGCCGACGCCGCTAAACTTTTTTGCTCAAGGTGCGCCAAGCATGGACGCGGCCAAGCCGAAGTCGGGCCCCATTGCTGGGGGCAAAAAGTCGCTGATCAGCCCCACGCCACTTTCCCTCCCAACCCACTCCCACCCCGCCCCATCCCTTCTATTAGGGTTCGTTTGCAGTTACAGAAGTTCACGCAGTTATACCAGTTATGTGGACAGTTAAAACAGTTAAAACAGTTATTTTTTGAGACGGATGAAAGCGAAAAACTAACTGTTTTAACTGTTTTAACTGTTTTAGCTAACTGGAGATAACTGGTTGTAACTTTATGAGACCAAACTGCGTGTTTAAGTGTTCAGAGCCAGGAGCGTGCAAAAAAAGGCTAGTTCTTTCCGAAAATTGAGTGGATTTGGAGATTATTCAATATATAATTTACATATATCTGATGTAGAAGTACCTTTGTCGATTGCACGCGGCATCGCCGCATGATGTATTAAGAAGTCATATTTTTCACTGCAAGCATAGCGCCCGGTCACTCGACTCCCACAGCCACCACTTTGGGCGCCTTGCGCGGCGGCCGCACCACCCGCAGCTGCGAGGAAGCCAGCGTCCACCACGAAGCAAGCTCACCGCGCGCAGTCGACTCCGGAAGCACGCGCCCTCGCCGCAAACAAAATACACGCGGCACCCTGCCGCAACGAGGGAGCGAAAACGTGCGAAGCACGCGGCCTCGCCGCAGACAAAACGAGCGGCGCCCTGCGCAAACGAGGGAACGAAAACGTGTATAACACACGCGGCCTTGCCGCAGACAAAATGAGCAGCAGCCTGCCGCGACGAGCGAACGAAAACACGCGGCGACTGGCCGCAGCGAGCGAGCGAGGAACAAGCGGGCAAGGAAAAGGAGACATGCACATACACCAGTCCAAGCGTCCAGCCGCAACTCCTTCACCAGAAGCAAGAGCTCAGCATCACACGCGAAGCAGGTCTCCACAAGAAAGGCCCGTGCTGCGTTGAGCTCGATGAGAACATCGCTTTTGCAGACCGTCACGTGCGACGTGGTCGCCATTTTCGCAACGCGCAGCTTGGCCCCGGCGCTCAGTTTAGACCAGGGAGGTTCCCCACCAGCTACTCCTGCTCACCTACTGCCTTTGAAATTCGTAGCCTGCCATCCCACCAGATTGTATACACCAAACAGATTTCCCACCAGCTACTGCTGCTCACCTGCCGCCTTTGTGTCCTGCCATCCCACGAGTTTAGACCAGGACAATTTCTCACCAGCTACTGCTGCTCACCTACTGCCTCTGAAATTTGCATCCTGTCATCCCACAAGTTTGGACCAGGCAGATTCTCTTACCAGCTGCTGCTGCTCATTTACTCCCTTTGTACCCTGCCATTCCACAAGTTTTGGCCAGGCAGATTTCTCACCAGCTACTTCTGCTCATCTGCACCCTGTCCGAAAGTTTCGGCAAAAAACATGGAACTTTGAGTCTCGAAAAAGCCCACGACACGCCACAAAACTGGCCCGGATCGTAGCTAGAGAGATGTCTCTTAGAGGAAAAGTAGTAGCAGCGACACACAGGCTTGTCTGCAAAGGGCCATGAAGACGAAAGCCCACGACACACCACGACACATCACACAAATTCTGAAAAATACAAACTGTGTCGTGGTGTGTCGTGGCGTGTCGTGGGTTTTCTGGGCCGCGCGCTTTTCGTGGTGTGTCGTGGGTGTGTCGCTACTACTTTTCCTCTAAGACACATCCCTCTAGCTGTGATCCGGGCCAGTTTTCTGAAAGTGTCGTGGTGTGTCGTGGCGTGTCGTGGGTTTTTTTTCGGGGCTCAAAGTTCCATTTTTGTTGCCGAACATTTCGGACAAGGGGCAGATGAGCAGCAGTAGCTGGTGAGGCCTAAACTTGTGGGATGGCAGGGTACAAAGGGAATAGATGAGCAGCAGCAGCTGGTAAGAGAATCTGCCTGGTCCAAACTTGTGGGATGACAGGATACAAATTTCAGAGGCAGTAGGTGAGCAGCAGTAGCTGGTGGAAAGGCTGTTTGGTCTAAACTGGTGGGATGGCAGGATGCAAATTTCAACAGCAGTAGTTGAGCAGCAGTAGCTGGTGGGAAATCTCCCTGGTCTAAACTGGTGGGAAGGCAGGATACAAATTTCCAAGGCAGTAGGTGAGCAGCAGTACTGGTGGGAAATCTCCCTGGTCTAAACTGGTGGGATAACAGGGTACAAATTTCAAAGGCAGTAGGTGAGCAGCAGTAGCTGGTGGGAAATCTCCCTGGTCTAAACTGGTGGGATGGCAGGATACAAATTTCAACTGCAGTAGGTGAGGGCCAGTAGCTGGCGGGAATTCTGTTTGGCCTAAACTGGTTGGATGGCAGGATATAATCTTGAAAGGCAGTAGGTGAGCAGCAGTAGCTCTGCCTGGTCTAAACTGGTGGGGTGGCAGGATACAAATTTCAAAGGCAGTAGGTGAGCAGCAGTAGCTGGTGGGAAATCTGTTTGGTCTAAACTGGTGGGATGGCAGGATGCAAATTTGAAAGGCAGTAGGTGGGCAGCAGTAGCTGGTGAGAAATCTGCCTGGCCAAAACTCGTGGGATGGCAGGACACAAAGGCAGTCGGTGAGCAGCAGTAGCTGGTGAGAAATTTCCCTGGTCTAAACTCGTGGTATGGCAGGACACAAAGGCAGTAGGTGAGCAGCAGTAGCTGGTGAAAAATCTCCCTGGTGTCTAAACTCGTGGAATGGCTCGAGCGGCACTGCCGCCTGCAAACATCCAAGTCTCATAATTTCTAAACGTGTATGCAAGGTTTCAATGTTATTTAGCGGTTATCTGTGCAAATATATCAATAATTGCACAACATTATGTATTCTACAACTGTTGGCTTGCAAAAGCTAGGAAATCACTAAGAAATATAACTGTTTTAACTGCTTTAACTGCTTTCAACCCTAAAAAATAATTGTTTTAACTGTTTTAACTGTTTTGAATTTCACGCAGCTCGTCAGCACTAAAGCAGTTATCCCAGGTAGCAACTGATGCAACTGGTGACCAACTGAATCAACTGCTGCAACCATGACTTATAACTGGTAACAAACCCTAATAGTTCCACTCCAACTCCAGCCCAACTCCAACTCCAACCCAACTCCAACTCGACTCCAACTCCAACTCAACTCCAGTCCAACTCCAAACTCCACTCCAACTCCAGTCCAACTCCAAAGCCAACTCAACTCCAACTCGACTGCAACTCCAACTCAACTCCAACTCCAACTCCACTTCAACTCCATTTCAATTCCAAATTCAACTACGACTCAACTCCACTCCCAACGCATCCCGCATTATTGAAGTGTCCCCGACGCATCCCCGACGCATCCCCGACGCGTCCCCGACGCGTCCCCCGACGTCGCGACGCGTCCCCGACGCGTCCCCGACGCACCCCGGCGCGTCCCCGACGCGTCCCCGACGCGTCTCGACGCGTCCCCGACGCGTCCCCGACACATCCCGACACGTCCCGACGCGTCCCGACGCATCCCCGACGGGATGGTGGCTTGCTGCTGTTGCTTCCATAGAACCGTGTCTCAGAAAACCATAGAGCGTGCCTCAGAAAATAGGCACGGCGCGTTAGCAGTTGTCAGGTGCAGCTATAGCGGCCCGCCGCTAAACCTCACGTGTATAGCCCCGCGCCCATGTTGAAAAACCACGTGCGGCATCTTGCTCTACAGCGGCCGGCGCGCCGCTAAAGGCTACATAATGCACAAGCCGCTAAAACACTGCATGGGGGGGGAAGAAATTGTAAACGTAGCGGCCTCAATGTAGCGGCCTTGTATAGCCGCTAAACGTAGGCGCGCAAGCCATGTCCAGTGCGAGCGCCGTGTATATAATGTTTGAAGCTCACCCGTTATTCCAACACGTCCTTTCATCCATGCAAAAGCGCGCTGCAAACACGCGCACTTGCGTTTAAAAACCCTGCTTGTTTTGCAGTGTGCTGTGGGCTTCGCTGAATACACGCGCACGCATGTCGGGGAGACAGCTGTACACCCTTCTCCGCGCACGCTCAAATAACTTAACTAGAGTTTTGCAAGTTCAATAACTGGGGGCTAAATTCGCCAACTAAATCTGGACGCTCAAGTACCGAACTCCTTTTTGCGTTCCTTTTTGCGTCTATACAGCCCTTGGACGTTTTTTGGGCTTCTTTTGCTTCCTCCGAACTCTGATTGGGTACTCACCGGTCCAAAGTTTTAGGTACCGCACTCCTTTTTGCGTTCCTTTTTCGCGTCCCAAACTTAGGTACAGCCCTTGGAAGCTTTTTGGGCTCCTTTTGCTTTCTCCGAACTCTGATTGGGTACTCACCGGTCCAAAATTTTAGGTACCGCACTCCTTTTTGCGTTCCTTTTTCGCGTCCGAAACTTAGGTACAGCCCTTGGAAGCTTTTTGGGCTCCTTTTGCTTTCTCCGAACTCTGATTGGGTACTCACCGGTCCAAAATTTTAGGTACCGAACTCCTTTTTGCGTTCCTTTTCGCGTCCAAAACTTTAGGTACAGCCCTTGGAAGCTTTTTGGGCTCCTGCTTCCGCTTCCTCTTAAGGTTTTTCTGGGCACTCCCCTGTCCAAGGTACAGCCCTCATTGGAAGCGGTTCTTGTCCATGAAGCTCCACGGCCTGGGCGCCAGCCCCGAGGTCCTGGAGCTGGGCGAGGGCTGGACCCACGAGCGCTTCACCGTGGTCGCTGTCAACGGCCACCAGCTCGCGTTGCACAACGCCAGGCGGACGCGGAACGAACCGCCAAACTCGAGCCAGCTCCAGCCCCATGGATAAAGACATGAAACGCGGTAAAATTCGCCTAAGATATGATTATTTGTTTACCTGGAGCACCCTTCGTTACCTAAATTTCTGCCCTTAGCCCAAACGTATTGCAAAACCAGGGGTCGTCACCAAAATATGGGAAACTTACACTTTTTCCTGCTTCGAGCATTTTTCCCAGAACCGGGCTGGTCGGTCCTCCAAGATGATCGGTCGTTGAATGCTCGAAAGGAGCGAGGAGAAATCCAAGTGCAAAACGAGCGCAAATATCCGCAAAACGAGTGCAAATATCCGCAAACGAGCGCAAATCTAAAAACGTAACAATCCCGCCTTCCTCTGGATGGAAGAAGGGGATTTGGTCGAGTGGTTTTTTTGGGGGCGAGCGTTTTTTGGGGGGTCAAGCAGAAATTGGCAATTCGAGCGTTTCTTTCTCGTACATAAAAAAAGGCACGTTGGGTGCCCCAGGTATTTATCGATTTATGCATTTTTTATTTTAAATTTTGTTTGTTGATTCATTTTTGCATTGCAGCCGCTGGAGCGGTAGTACTTTTCCAACCGCAGACGAAGACGAATTCCGAGGACGAATTCCCGAAAACGAATTCCAACCCGAAGACGAATTGCGAAGAAATTCAGGAAGCCGAATTCCGTCCTAAAGCCGAGTTCCCCGGAAGTCAAATTGCGAAGTCGAATTCCCGAAGACGAATTCCAACCCGAAGACATCCGAAGACGAATTGCGCAGACGAACTCGCCGGAGCCAAGCTCCCTCCCGAAGCCGAGTTCCTCCCGAATACGAATTGCAAAGGCAGTTTCCCGAAGCCGACTTCCCCCCCGAAGAGGAATTGCGAAGACGAATTCCCCGAAGCCGAATTCTCCCCCAAAGCCGAGTTCACCCGCGAAGACGAGTTGCGAAGACGAATTCGCTGAAGCCGAAGTCTCCCCCGAAGCCGAATTCCCTCCCGAAGACGAATTGCGAAGACGAATTTGCGAAGACGAATTCCCAACCGAAGACAAATTGCGAAGACAACTTCCCTGAAGCCAAGTTTCCTCAAGAACGCGAGTTCCCCTCCTGAATGCCGTTGAGCAAGCATGCTGACAGCGAGCATTCGTGGTAATCTCGTCCCCTTATCATAGACGGCGCCCTACATATAGTAGGTGCTTTTGTCAAAGCCCTGAAAGTCCAATGCTTAACTAGTTCATGCAATTTGAATCCAATATTGATCTATCGATGATCCTCTTCTAGGGGGCCCGCTGCCCTCAGCCAGTCAGCGTTTGTAAGACAAGAAGACTCTTTCTTGAAATCAGTTTTTTGTTGCGGTTAACACTCGTTTACCTTGCGCTGCACAGTGTTGCCAGGCATTTTGCAAGCGCAGCTTGGCAGTTTTAAGGGAAGCCGAGCGAGCCCGAGGGACGCCAGACAACATGAGCAGATTGAACAACCCACAGCCGTTGAGCTTGTGTTGCGCCGCGTGGTTTGCCAGTCTCTGGCGCGCCAGAGCGTATCTCGGGGAGCGCCTGCGTATCCGAGGCAGTCGGCTGCAAATGAAGCAGAGGGAAGCCGAGTGAAGCCAAGGGAAGCTAGACAACACGAGCAGATTGAACAACCCACGCCTAAACCGCAAGCGGAAGGGCGTAACCCGTACTTGAACTGGAATGTCGAGCGCGGAGCACTGCGTGAGATGAGTGCTCGTATACCGCCTGCCATTTTGCAACTCGACCTGACCTGACCTGACCGCCCTGCCATCCTCCTGCCATAACCGCGCCCACGTGCTTTGCGGCACGCCAAGAACATCTGGCCCTCAGGCAGTTCGTCCGGGTCTGCAGGGCAGCACACCCACCAGCTCAAGTGTGCCGCTACCTTGCAAGGGTGTCACCTGTGTGTTGGGTTCAACGTTGGGTCAACCGGCATGAACTGCCAAAGTTCCACTTCGCTGCAAAGCCGTTTTCCTTCTAATTGGGGTTGTGAAATGCAACCGGGGTTGTTGTTTATTAGCACCTTTGAAGTGGTTTTTCGCGAGGACGACGTCTACTAGCCTGTCCTTGTAGGCTGCGCAAATCCAAGCGATAGACTCTTGTCGCGCTCCAGGTTTCCTGGCTACGCGCTGGCCAGCAACTCGCTGGACAAAATAATTTGGCTGCGCAGGGTTGGTTTAGCAAATAACGCGAGTGGTGTTTTAAGCGCCACGTCCAGTCATAAGCAACGCGCACAATCCGCAACAGCCGTTCAACTTCAGGAAGCAACACTAACACACTATTGAATGCCCACGCACAGATTGTTGTTGTCCGTCTAGCCGGGGCTGGGAAACACAAGCAGGGTTGCAAGAGACTGTGGTCTTGCGAACGCTATTCTGCTTCGCGATTACTACTTGATGCAGACTAGTACTGTCCTCAGTCAGCCTGTCAGCTAGTCATTTTCCTACTTACCAAACTCCCAGCTCGCGACCAAAGCTGTGAGCAAAGCTGCAGCTCAAAGCGCATGGGCCCGCTCCAGAATGTGGCCTGCGCGTTGACGCCTGCCCGTACTCTTGCCGAGGCCCAAATCTGCCGCCAACGTGGTCACAGCTCGCTTCGAGCCAACTGGGGTCTAGGTTGTGGGTGAACCAGCAAAGCATTGATAGGAAGAAAGTCGGGGCCAACATATCCCACGCCTTGCCTCAACAAAGCTTTTGCAACATGCCCCGCAAAAAACCGCACGCTCGCTGTGGAACAGTTGTCAATCAGATCAAGTCGTGCTTGGGCGGGTTCGCGCGCAATGCCAGTGACCTCGGCTGAGGTCTGACAAGGTGCTCCAGCTGGTGCCGCTCTTGCTTCGTTGGCTTGTGACGTCTGCTTCTGCTTGCAAAAAAACGCCGGTTAATGCTCGTAGTTTCTTCGCAGAGCCGCATTGCACCAACACGCCCGGAATATGATAGAACGCTTGCAGCCCTGCTTGTTTGTTCAAGACGTCCGTGAGTAGAGCGCAAACATGTTTTGCGCAGGCAAAATTACCTCAGAACCAGTTCGCTGCCAGCGTGCAGTAATTGTCAGAAGTGGCCCTACATTGAGAGAAGGTCTCAGTTGTTCGCAACCTTGTCCACACGCATACTGGCTCGATGAGGTTTGCGCAGATGTTCCAGCCCGTGCCGGCGACTCTAGGTGAGTTGCGCGCAGCGCGCCAGAGAACTTGTTTGAATTGACGTGCTTTTGAGGTCTACTTGTCGCCAGAGGCTAGCAGAAGCGCGCACTCTGAGAAGCGAGCGCTGTGTTGCAAACAGCGGGGGCTGCGGGGTTGCCGCTTGAAGGTTGCCTTCCGAACACGTGCTTGTAGGGCTCAAGTCTGTCAACAGGGCGTTGCTTGACTGCTTCAATAAACAGAGACTGTTGCCGCGCAAACTCTGCAAGGGACTGCAAGCACTCCGACGCAGGCCTGCTCTGCAGGGCTGTCCTGCTGGCGCCGCAAAGGCTGACTTGTAGGGCTGAAATTCCCCCCAGACTGCTCTGTCAAAGCTAGTTTGCGAAAGAAATTGCGTGGTCCGCAATCCCAAAATGAAGTGTTCAGAATTGCTAGCTCCGCAGGCTGTTGCGCGTCAATGGTCATTGGTGGGAAAGGACTGCTGCGCTGCCTTGCTGAAGTTGGTGCGCAGGGCTGCGCAGGGACAGCTGGCCGCCGTGCAGGGACCGCCGTGCAGGGACTGCCGCGCAGGGACTGCTGCTGTGCAAAAGTTTTGCGCAGAAAGCAGGGACTGCTGTGTGAGGATTGTGCTACAGGGACTGGTGTGCAGTGCAGGGACTGCTGCGCAAAATCCGCCGCGCAGGGCTGCTGTGCAGGGACTACTGTGCAAAAGCTGCTGCTTGGGCGCAAGGGCTGCTGCGCAGGTACTGCTTGTGTAGCACTGCCTTGCAAGGGACTGCTGCGCAGGTTGCACGGAAGCTTGTGGGCAAGGACTGCTGTTCAAGGACTGTGCCTTGCAGGGACTGGCGTGCCGGGGCTGTTGTCTCGACTGCTATTGGGTTGGATTTTTAGACTTTAACTTTTTGGGAAATGAAGGGGTTTTCCACTAAACCCCAAAAAAGTTAAACTTTTTGCAGGCGGGCCAACAGCAACCAAGTTATGCAGGGACTGGTCCCCTGGTGCGCAGGGACTGCTTTGCAGGGTGCTGTGCGACGCAGGGACTTATGTGGAGGCGCTGCCTCTACGCAAGCTGAGTTCCTTCAAGGCAATCAGCCTAAGGTAGGACCAGCCAACCAGTCCCATGGGCGGACTGCGAGGCTGCAGGGACTATTGCGCAGAAACTGCTGTGCAGAAACTCATAAATTCAGGATATTGATTCTGAGCATGCTAAAATCAATTCTGCACAACCTCTATTTTACCACACTAAATCAATTGTCAAAATCAAAATTGGATTGGGATCAATATTGGGATCAATATTGGGATCAATATTGGGATCAGTATTATAAGTCATTCCGCACGTTTTTTCTCTTCAGGCTGCACATCGGTATGTGACACTATAGCGCTTTTCCAAGCGCGCAGCTTTTCCAAGCTGGTGAGCTTTTCCAAGCTGGTGGCAGCTTTTCCAAGCTGGTGGAGCAGATCTAGGACTCCCAGATGTGCTTGCTGCACTCCAAGAACCTATGACTTGAGATGATCAGGTGCAGCAAGACCCTGTATTTTGTTCTAGCTTCTGGCTCAGTCTGGAGCTTGCAACTCCCATGGAGATCGAGTGGGCCACTTTGGAAGTCTTACCTACAAAGTCTTCGGATTTAAAGCACCACTGCAGCCTAGGATTCAAAAGCAAGTGGATAAATGTATGATGCTTGGCGACGATATGGAATGAGTTCCTATCGCTTTCGAAGGACCACTGGCCCAGCCAAGCATAGTCATCCAAGAAGCCTTTCCCAAGGCTTAGGGACGTGGAGAATTCAGCTGAGATCCAGCCTCTTCCCACAAGGCGACAAGCTTTTCCAAGCTTGTGGCTGCAGAAATCAT